TGGCAGGGCCTCAGACGCCTGGTACCATGCGCCAGCTACTGAGCTCATTTGCTCCAGCTAAGTCATTTTACAGGCAGCCCAGCCTCAAGATTAGCACAAGGCTTCATGCAGATGTTCTGGAGGAGGGAGAACAAGGCAGAATCAGAGAGAAGGAAGCAGTATGGGCTTTCGTTTTGAACGTTGATCCCTAGGACTTCTTCGGGGTCTGATGAAATGGAATGCCTGAAGAGTATAAACATCTAAACAGATAGTAGATATGATGGCCCTGGGAAGTAGGCCACAGTGCTATCTTGATTTCAGGGAGAGAAATTGAGGCACTGTGGGGTTAACAGGCCTGTATAAAAATTGTAGTCAAAGACACAGAGGTGCAGGACCATGGGAATTCAAAACCCTCGCTCTGAGCTCAGCCATGGAGACTAAGAAATTCATGGTTCACAGTAGAGACCAAGAGAAACCTGCATCTCAGGAAGGACGTAATATAATTGTGGTCAATTTGAGGCCTTTCCATGTCTAGCCCAGCATGCCTACCTCCTCCTTCCACAGTCGATGAAGGCCTAGTTGGCCCTATGGATAACCTAATATTCAACCTATTTTCAATTGCAGGTATATATTCCTGACTGAATTCTACTGTCATTGAACCTTCCCATGAAAATCCCTCCAACAGGAGAGGAGAGAGGACACAGGCCAGAATTTGGGTCTCCTGTGCCACTGAGTCTCAAAAGGGATAGTTAATTGTTAGGCCTTGGTGCTCACACCTGTAATCCTAGCTACTCAGGAGGCTAAGATATGAGGATCAAAATTCAAAGCCATCCCAGGAAATGAATTCATGAGATGCTCATCTCCAATTAACCAGCAAAAAAAATCTGGAAGTAGAGCTGTGGCTCAAGTAATAGAGCACCAGCCGTAAGTGGGGGGGAAAAAAAAAAAAAGCCAAGCAAGAGCAAGAGGCCTTGATTTGAAGCCTAGTACCAAGAAGAATCTAGAGGCAGTGTGTGTGTGTGGGGGGGGGGCGGGGGGGGGGGGGCGGAGGGGCGGGGAGTACGGGGGCGGGGGGAAGAATAGTTAGATTATTCAAACCATATTCTGAAGATGTTCTTGGCTTTACTATAATATAACCTTTTTCTTAGATCTTCAGGATGAGATTAAAGATCCAGGAAAACATTTTATTGGTTTATCACGCAGTTTGATGGTACTGCCAGCACAGCCAGATTTTTGTTTCTGTTGCTTGAGACGAGGTCTCCCTATGCAGCCCAAAAGCCTTGAATTCAGATCCTCCTTACCTCAGCCTCCTGAAGGGCTGAAATTACAGCTATGTGTCACACTACCTAGCTCCTATTACCTTGTTAAAGGGATTCGAAAGGCTCAAAGAAGTTGAGAGAGGCTTTTCTGTGAGATGAAATACCTCATATTTAGGATATGTTTCTGTTTGTCTATGTCACATAAATTAAGTGTTTTTATGTTCATTTAGAGGAGAAAAGGGGAGGTTAGGAAGATTAGCCTTCCCACATGGTTCCTATTAGGCCACCTGCATGACCAGCTTAGCTCTCCAGGTGGGAGATGTCTCTAACACCATAGAGATGATTATTGTCTGTTTTCAGCTGTGGCCTCTGTCTGTAGGAAAGTCTGGTGGTCTCTAGCTCTGAAATCCCTTTGCATGCTTTGATAAGGATGAGATAAGCAGATGAGGTTATTCTATGTAGTTCAACTCTGTGTGATGAAGGAGACCTCATTCACTCCTTAGCCTCAACCACAATTCTGGAACACAATTTGTGCTTGAAATGTCCCTCCTCTTCCTGTGCTAAGACACAGCCTTTCAACAATTAATATTGTTCCTGAACAATTACAATCTCTCTCCCTTCCTCCCTCCCTCTCTGTCTCTGTCTCTGTCTCTCTCTCTCTCTCTCTCTCTTTCTGTCTCTCCCTTCTCCCCCTTTTTCCTTCCCCCCCTCTCTCTGGCAATACTTGAGCTTGAACTTAGGGTCTAGCACATTCTTTCCTTGCTTGATCAGCCTGTACTCTACCACTTAAACCATACCTCCAGCCCTGATTTTTACTGGTTGTTTTGGAGATGGAGTCTTAGGAACTATTCAGCTCAGGCTGACTTGGACTCTCAATCCTCAGATCTCACCTCCTAAATAGCTAGGATTACAGGCCTGAGGCACCAGCACCCACCTCAATTCCTTGTCAAAACTCATTCAGGGAGCCAGGTGCTGTGGCTCATGCCTGTAATTTTAGCTCCTCAGGAGGCTGAAATCTGAGGATTGTGATTTGAAGCCAGCCCAAGCAGAAAAGTCTGTGAGAATCTTATCTCCAATTAGGCAGCTAAAAGCAGGAAGTGGTGACATGGCTCAAATAGCCCATGAGATGTTTTGAAAAAAAAAAATGACCTTCCAGCATTCATATCAGGTCAGGTGATGGCATATAGACATGTTCTTCTGCCCTATCACTGTCTGACCATTTTCCTTTTTCTTTTTCTTTCTGGCACCAATACTAGAGCTTGAACCCCAGGGCCAGGGCAATCTTCCTTACTCATTCTCTTAGCTTATTTGCTCAAGACTGGCACAGATAAGCCACACTTCTACTTCCAGCTGTTTGCTGGTTAACTGGAGATAACAATCTCACAGACTTTCTACCTGGACTGATTTCAAAACTTGATCCTCAGCTCTGAGCCTCCTGAGTGACTAGAATCATAGGAGTGAGCCAGCAGCACCCAGCATCCTGTCCTAAATTTCGTAGTTTCATGTTGAACCTAATATTCCTAGTGATCAGGGATCATCTTTTTTTTTTCAGGAGGTTGGCAGATAGTTTTTCTATATCCACACAGTGCCAACCTGGACTTTTCGTATAAACACTAAGATAACAACATGGAAATAACACTTGTTAGAAGTGCTTATAATCACACAATATGCACAGATATGCAGCCTTCCTCCACCCCAGGAAGCATGTTTTTGAAGCCACAACCTCACCCCTGGAGAGGAATCACAGCCGGTAAAGTCTTGTCCACCTGACAGCTGCCCCCTTGCAGGAGAGAGAAAATTTACCTGTGGATTCTCAATGAACATTGCTTTCTCTCTGATTTTTACTGTTGTTGGTCAAGGGGCTTGAACTCAGAGCCTGGGCACTGTCCTTGAGCTTTTTGCTCAAGGCTAACACTCTACCACTTTAAACCTCAGCTCCACTTCTGGTTTTCTGGTGGTTAATTGGAGATAAATCTCATGGACTTCCTTACCTGGGCTGACTTCAAACCATAAACCTCAGATTCCTCAAGATCTCCGCCTCCTGATTTGCTAGGATTACAGGCATGAGCCATTGGTGCCTGGCTGAGCATTGCTTTCGTTATGTGTTGTTTCTGAAAGATGAGAATATACAAATTGTAATTTTAAGCCACCAGAGCCGGTTTTAAACCACCCCCATCTTTTACCTAGGAAATTAGAGTCCCTCATCCCAGAGTATATTCCCTATCTTGTTTTCCCATACCACATCCTGCGTAACCATGCCCTGTCTCAAGCGCAACTTAGTTTAATTATCATAAATATCAAGAACCACAAGGCAATGGTGGCTCATGTCTGTAATCCTAGCTACTCAGGAGGCTGAGATCTTGAGGATCATGGTTCATAAGCCAGCCCAAGAAGGAAAGTCCACGAAACTCTTATCTCCAGTTAACCAGTAAAAAGCCAGAAAGGGAGCTGTGGGTCAAGTGACAGTGCCTAGGCACTGAGTTCAAGTTCCAGACACACACCCAAGAGCCACAAGCAGGACTTTGTGATGGGTTGCAGCTGTAAAGAGCTTAGCTGGGTGGCCAGGATTGGAACAGGGCATGCTGTGAGGACACACCTCAGATGGAGGCCTAGGAGACAGAAGCAACCAGACCTACAGCACCTGTGGCTCTCTGGCTTGAACAGAAGATAGAAATCAAAATAATGAGCTGATGCATAGGTGCCAGCTTGGTGAGGGTGAACCCAGCTCTCCTTAGGCAGCTTTAAGACAGGTACTCTAGGATCTGATTCTCAACCCCTCCTGTATCTATGAGAGTAACTAATGCTCATAGCACCCCGCCACTCTGTTCTCCCTTCTTCTGCAAATCTCACCACTCTGTGTAATGACTTCTAGTCAAAACATATTTATAACCAGGCACTGGTGGCTCACACCTGTAATCCTAGCTGCTCAGGAGGTGAGATCTAAGAATCAAGATTCCAGCTAAGGCAGGAAAGTCTCTGGGACTCCTATCTCCAATTAACCACTGAAAAACCAGAAGTGGAGGTGTGGCTCAAGTAGTAGAACAGCAGCCTTGAGTAAAAAAAAGCTCAGGGACAGCGTCCAGTGCCATGACAGACACGAAAATATATCTAGCTCTAAAGTCAAATGAATGAGGACTCCAAAAAAGAAAATCCAGGTCACTTTAACTGATCCCTTTCCTAGATAGACACCCTTTAGGTCAGCTTGTTGATGGCCGGCCAGCTTCATGCTCTTAATCTTGACTTAAAACCAGAATTGAAAGAATCTACTCTCCAGCCTCCATTTCTGTTCTGAGAACTTTCCTCCTTTCCTCTGCTTTTGTTCAAAGCTTCTCCATCACCTAATTTTTAAGTTTAGCCCCATAGTTCATTGTCTTCTGCAAAACCCCCTCCCAAACCATCCAGATTCAGCCTGCCAGGAACAAGGAAATCCCATTGAACTCTGTATCCTGCAGGGACAGATCTTGGAAAGCTGAGCAATGAGGATTGATGTTCACACACAGCATGGGAAGGAAAATTGTGACATTCTTTATCTCCAATTAACCACCAAAATGCTGGAAGTAGAGCTGTGGCTCAAATAGTAGGGTGCTATCTATTCTTGAGTGAAAAGGGCAGATGGGAAAGAGGCCCTGAGTTCAAACCCTTGAATTCAAGCCCTACACACACACACACACACACACACACACACACACACGCACACACACACCCAAAAAAATAATAATAATAATAACCTATTCATCCATTTGTGATTTCTGTTTCTTTCAGGCAACTATGGTCCTGAGCTCTGCACACTTCTGGTTGGGATTATTTCTGGTTCCTACTGCATGTCTGTTGGAAGATGTGGCATGGAGAGCGTAAGTGGAAAATGAAGCAGTAACCCAAGGTCTTTCTCATCCATTCTTACAATTTATCCTCACAAGAGTTTCACCGAAGGGTACCAAGAGCTATGAGAGTTCTGAAGAATCAGTCTCCTGCCACTTTTCAAAGAAACATTTGTTCTTGTTTTGCTTATATTTTTAAACCTTACTTCATCTTGAAAATATAGACAGTGGCTCATGCTTATAATACTAACTACTCAGGAGACTGAGAACTGAGGATCAAAGTTCAAAAGCCAGCCTGGGCAGGGAAGTCCTTGAGACTCTTATCTCTAATTAACCAGCAAAAAAGCCAGAAGTAGAAGTATGGATCAAATGGTGGAATGCCAGCCCTGAGCAAAAAAGCTAAGGGATAGCATCCAAGCCCTGAGTTCAAGCACAAAGTATCAAGATAATGTAAATTTTAATTATAATCAGGAATAAAAAAGAAGAGATTACTCAAAATTAAGGAGATACTGGTTTTTAGGTTGAGTGGACCCAATTTCTCCTACAGGTAGCTGCCAACTTTCCCCAGAATTAAGACTTCTAGTTTGGTTTTACTTTGGGCAGCATCAATTATTTCAGCGCCCCGAGATAGAGAATTGTGACTTTAATCCAAACCTTCCAGAAAAAGACATTAGATTTCATTTTTACCTCCCTGTTCTTCCCACATCATGAGAATTATTCTTACCTGACAGTTAAGAATGTCTTCTGAAAAAAAGTCTTCATTTTGGCATTCTCTTGACAATTAATGATAACGCACACAGAGAACAAGGGATGGGGAGAGACTTTTATAGCATATCTTTTATGTTTATTTTTCTTATGCTCACTAAAGTTTTCCACTATTACTAAAAATTAAGTAATTTTAACTACTTAAGTACTTGCATTTCCCCATAATTTCGTTTATCTGCTAAAGCTATGTTTTATAAATGACAGGATAGAAACACTTGGAAAGGAAGGATAGACTATAGCCAGGAAAGATATGTTCTCAATCTAATTGATGCACTGTAAGCAAATATTCATTTTTATTATTTGCTCTTTGAACCAGTAAGCCTAATTGGGGTATGATCTGTTTATTTCCTAGCTGAACTGCTCCAGTTTTGCAAAGAGCAGTTTGTTTTAGGTAAATACAGCATGAATTTAGCCACTACCAATGGCTTTTTCTAATTAAGAAATAGAAACATACTGATAAACTCATTTCAGACCAACTCAATTCAGCTCTCCTCAATTAATGTCATGAAAACATTTTTATTTTTGAGACTACTTTTGCCAACTGAGATTTTCACAAACATTATCTTTCTTTCATTTCAAAGAAAATATTGGAGTCAGAGAGCTAGTGGCTCACACCCTAGCTACTTATGAGGCTGAGATCTGAGAATCATGGTTCAAAACTAGCCCAGACAGGAAAGTCCATGAAGACTCCAATTAATCACCAAAAGGCTAGAAGTGGAGCTGTGCCTCAAGTGGTAGCTTTGAGAAATAAAAAAGATAAAAAGAAAGAAAAGCTTGGGGACAGCAGAACTGGCACCAAAAAAGGGGAGGCTGAGGTATGAGAATCACAGTTCAAAGCCAGCCCAGGCAGAAAACGTCTATGACACTCTTATTCTCAATTAGCCAGCAAAAAACTTGAAAATGAAATGTGGCTAAAGTGGTAGAGGACCAACCTTGAGCAAAAAAGCTAAGGGATCATGCCCCAATACTGGCACACACACAGAAAAAAGAGGCTTAAAGATGTTAGTAGCTTAGGCAAGCTCTGTGTTTGTTTCTCTGAATCTTTTCCAAGTATGTTCCAAATCCGAGGTCCCTATCACTATGAAGCAAATTATTCCCTCCAACAAGATTTTATTTAGGACCCGTTTGTAGGAGGGGCTCTATAAAATTAGCACCATTTACATTTTAACAAGGAGAAATCAGATGACACTGCTTCCAGCTTTAACATATGGAAAGAATAAAAAAGTCACTTCCTTTCCAAGGAGCTTGCCAGCTGGGCTGAAGCCGGGCCCCAGGGCCTTGCACAGAATCTGGGAGAGAGCAAGGTTACTCCAGCGCAGCAGGGAGAGCCTCTGCCACGGCTGGGTGGCTCAGACACAACTTTTCCCAAGAGTAACATCTCAGCTTTGGGCTGAGCCAGGAGTCTTACTGGCTTTCAGAAGCACTTCCTGAGATGTATTTTGTTTGTCATATTTTATTTAGGGGAGCATCCCTCTGAAGTCTGTGCTCAAAGCATATCCCAAGTAGTCATATCTATTTAACTAACCTTCTAAACTTCAGTCACCCCTCTCCAACAAAGAAGAGTTTGTGAATTTACTTAGGGATTGCACCTCTCACCATGAGATCCATAGTCCGTCTCTTGTTAGACCCCAAGTCTGAAATTCTTTGTCCTGACAACAAATTCAGCAGCCTCTTCCCAAGAAAAGGAAGTATATTGTGAACTCTGGTGAGACTATGCTGTCTTACCTGTGATATCTTGTTTATGTGTGTGTGTGTGTGTGTGTGTGTGTGTGTGTGTGTGTGTGTGTGCTGTTGTTGTTGTTGTTGTTGTTGCTGTTGTTTTTGAAGATTGCATTTTTTAATTATCTTTAAGTAGTTGCAAACTTTTTTTTTTTTGAGACAAGGTTCAAAGGGTCTTACATATTAGTTCAAACTGGCCTGGAACTCTTAGTCCTAATGCCTTAACTTCTCTCTCCCAAATGCTGGGATTGAAGGCATGCACTACCACGTTCATCTTGTGTCCTCTTTTGGGAAAGCTTTTGAATTCCAACTTAGGGCAGGCCTGCCTTTTCAAGTAGATTTCAAGGAGCATCTACGAAATGCTTCATCTTTTGGCATTTTCCCCCTCTCTCTTTGCCCAGTTTCTCGCTTCCATTTTAGAACCTGGGCTGCTAAAAGAGTAAGAAAAGAAAAACTAAATGAGGTAATTCAGTCACTTTTTCCATAAAGTCTGTCAACTTTCTGGATGAAAATTTGTTATTAGACTGTCTTAAGTCAGTTGATTTGGAGCACCATTAAAAAAGCCTGCTCTATTATTCTGCTCACTAAAATTTCTATGAAGGACTAAAGTACCCTATCTTATATGAAGGTAATTTATTATAAGTGATCCCTGGCTAATGAGTAGTCTTACTAGAAGCAAGAAGTATAAATTATCCAGAACTATTTTAACATTCTTTGGTTTATACTTGTCTAATATGTCTACATGTGACAGCATGCTTAGGTAAGCTGGCATTTATAGATTCTCAACTAGTAGAAATTTGTTGGTACTGCTCTATCAAACAAAAATACCCAAGTGCCAGTGGCTCATGTCTGAAATCCTAGCTACTTAGGAGGCTGAGATTTGAGGAATGTGGTATAAAACCAACCTGAATAGAAAAGTCTAGAGACTTTTATCTCCAGGTAACCACCGAAATGCCAGAACTGGAGCTGTGGCTCAAGTGGTAGAGTTCTAGCCTTGAGCAAAGAAGCTCAGGGATACTGCACAGGCCCTGAATTCAAGCCCCAGCACCAGCATGCACGTGTGCTTATGCATTCATGTACATGTGCATGTGTGTGCACACACACACACACACACACTATTAATATAAAACTCAAGGCCACTGAGCACAGAAGATCCAGTTTTCTTTAATCAAACTGTGTATCTCCTGTCTTTATACCAAGCCCCCTAATTCTGGAATGATATCATTTCCCTTGTTTAATCCCAGATAGGCAGTTAAGTGACAATAAGCAATAAGCAATTTCTCTAGACAAATGGTCTTTGATTTTTTTTTTTCACGTTTCTAACCAAACTAATTTCTCTCTGGAAACATATTATGTTTCCATTTTCATCCATGGATAGAATATAACATTTCCTTTGGACTTGCTATCCTGGTGTGTAAAAGGAATTCTGAGGCAAAAAGATGGGAAAAGTTAGATTATTTATTCAAAAATCCTTAAGAAGACATGGAAAAATGAGGGAGTGGGTAACAAGTTCAACAAGAAATGTACTTTTTTTGGGGGGGGGGGGGGTCCGGTCGTGGGGCCTGAACTCTGGGCCTGGGTGCTGTCCCTCAGCTCTTCAGCTCAAGGCTAGTGCTCTACCACTTGAGCCACAGCACCACTTCCAGCTTTTTTCTTGTTGCTTATGAGTTGCTGAGGAATCGACCCCACGGCCTCAGGCATGCAAGGCAAGCACTCTACCACTGAGCCACCTTCCCAGCCCCAAGAAATGTACTTATTACCTTACTTATATAACTGTAATCCCTCTGTACATAACCTTGACAAAAATAAATAAATAATAATAATAAAAAAAAAGAAGACATAGAAGTAGAGGGGCCAACTTGGGAAGAGAAAGGGTTTGGGAGGAAAGGGATTAAAATGATCCAAGTATGTTCTATGCACTTATGAAAATCTCACAAAAGAAACACTTTTTACTTGTTTGTTCTTGTGTGGGTATTGGGCTTGAACTCAGGGCTTGGTTGCTGCCCCTTAGTCTTTTCTCCCAAGGCTAACACTACTGCTTGAGCCACAGCTCCATTTCTGGTTTTGTTTTTTTTTTTTTTTCTGGTTAATTTGAGATAAGAGTTTCACAGACTTTTCTGCTGGGCCTGGCTTTGAACCTCAGTCTTCAGCCTCCTGAGTAGCTATGATTACAGGTATGAGTCACCAGTACTCAGCTGACAGAAGAGATGTTTAGATTCATTTTTCTCAGGCTTTTTAGGTAAAGCTGCTTGAAAAAAGGGTTTGAAAATGCTGACTTTCTTTCTAATCAAGTGTTTTGTGCAGAAAAAGGAGCTGAATTCTTCCCAAAGTGGCAGGCCAGGACTCTATAACCACAGAGTTTCTCAGGTTAACTCACAAGAGCCAGCCAATTTGGAAATGCTATCAAATTGCTCTGATAACTCTTGGACATGAGTACATTTGCACCTTTGAAAGTATAGAGGTGTCTCATAGAGAGACCATTGACCTCTAAGGTTATTTATTGGCTGAGTAAAAACTGGCAATATCAATGTACCAACTGACAAACTTTTCTTGGCTAAGCTACAGATTGCCAGTGTTTTGGGACTAGTGGTTCAGCCTTCCTACTTCAAGCCTCCTTCTTAGTGACCTCTGTCTCTGCTTGGCCCTGAAGATAACATTACAGATCAATCTAGAGGTTGATCATCCTGTGCAGGAAAAGGGGAAGAAGAGGATGGATTGAAACCCCTTCAGACTAGACACATTCCCCTGGTTCCTGTATATTTGGGTGATTTTGAATAGAATGAGACATATTACTCAATTGGTTTATTATCAGTATAGATCTTTAAGCTAGTGATTTTTTTAAAAGGTTAGGGCTAGGAAGGTGGCTCTGTGGTAGAGTGCTTGCCTTGCATGCATGAGGCCCTGGGTTAGATTCCTCATCACCACATAAGCAGAAAAAGCTGGAAGTGGCACTGTGGCTCAAGTGGTAGAGCACTAGCCTTGAGCTGAAGAGGTAAGGGCCCAGAGTTCAGGTCCCATGGCCTACAAAAAAAAAAAGTTAAAGTTTAGAGCCCACTATGTTCAGTAATATTGGACAGCATCCATTTGGACATCCTCTTTATATTTGAACATTCTTTTTGATGGTCTCTTTTCCAACAAAACTGTTAGCCTTTTTTCCCCCATTTATTGTTTAAATGAAAGATTCCACAGTCTCTGCTTTGAACTGTGGGATATTATCATTATGGATGAAGTCTGTGGATAGTGTTTAAAGTAATTAAGGTATGATGTGTGAAAACCTGTGTGGTTTTCCTCTTGTTTACTTTGTGGGGAAGGATGACAGGCACACATACCATGTCTCAGCGCTAACGCTCCAGTACAGATTAACATGGAGTGCTGGATGACTTGACTTTATCTACATAGGCTTTCTGGCCTTGAAAGAGGAAGGTGAATGAGGGAAATGAGATTCCAAAGACAGCCCACATCCTCAGAATATTGCTAGGATACCATTTTCCCTCCCATGCAGCATACTTGGTTGTTCGTGTTCATGTGTATGTCTGTGTATGTGTGTGTTCTAGTACTAGAACTTGAACTCAGAGCCTCATGTTTCCACTCAGCTTTCCACTCAAAGATGGTGCTCTATCACTTGAGCCACAGTTCCATTTTAGGCTTTTTTGCCTGTTAATTGAAGATAGAGTCTCATCTGTCTTTCTAGGCTGGCTCAGCCCTCTGATTGCTAGGATTACAGGTGTGAACCATGGGTGCCTGGCTGCCATCTTTCTTTTTAATTGGCACCCACTTGTACATATTTATGAGGTACAAAGTGGTAATTGATTCAACATGCAAGAGTTTAGACTCAATTCCAAAAGACCCTGAGAAGCAGCCAATTATTTGAACATTGTAAGGCTTTCTTATTAGATTTACCAGGAAAAAGGGAACAGGGAGCTCTTCTACTGTTCAAGAAGATCTGGACAGCTGGGCCTACCTGTAATCCTAGCTATTCAGGAGGGTGGATCTGAGGATCCAGATTTGAAACCAGTCTGGATAGGAAAGTCCATGAGACTCTTATCTCCAAGTAACTACCAAAAACCAGCCAGTAGTTGGGAGTTGGCTCAAGTGGTAGAATGTTAGCCTTGAGCAAAAAAAGCTAGGGACAGTGCCCAAACTGAATTCAAGCCTCACAATTGGCACAAAATGAAACAATTTTTTTTAAAAAATTAAAGCTGAGCACTCAAGCTGAGTTCCCTTGTGGTAGGAAAAATATGACTTGCAGGTGGTATTTCCTATTAGTCATGTGACTAAGGCCCCCGCACATGTGGGCTTTAATGGCAAGTCATTGACAGGGAAGGATGAAAAAGCTGTTGATTCCAAACTTCAGGCCAAGGTTAATGTACCTCTGGCATAGTAAACCCCACCCTAACCCCACCCTTGGTCTGGCAATAGCTTCTTCCTCATGAAGAAAGGAGAAGATGGTCTTAATTAACCCTTGGGCTCTCTGATGTAGTCCAGTAAGGACCAAGGGACCAGCACCATTCAGGAGGAAAGGTCTAAAATACTTTCCAGATCCTATAGTGAAAAGATCTAGGACCAGCCAGGTGACTTGTGCATGTAATCCTAACTACTTTGGAGGCTGAGATTGAGGGTCATGGTTCAAAGCCAGCTGGCAGAAAAGCCTGTGAGACTTTTATCTCCCAATTAACCACTGAAGAGCTGGAAGTAGAGCTGTGACTCAAATGATACTAGCCTTGAGCAAAAATAACTCAGGGACAGCATTCACACCTTAAGCTCAAGCCCTGGCTGGCACTAAAATAAAATAAAATAATGGAGGCTGAAATATGCCCCTAGCCTGGGCAGCAGAAAAATCTGAGAGATTCTTATCCCAATTAACCACCAAAGAGCCAGAAGTAGAGGCATGGATCAAATGGTAGAGCAATACCCTTGAACTAAATACATAAGAGAAAGTGTCCAATTCCTGAGTTTAAGTTCTCATAGTGGCAAGAGAAAGAAAGAGAGATGGAGAGGAGAGAGGGAAGGAAGGAAGGAAGGAAGGGAGGGAGGGAGGGAGGGAGGGAGAGAGGGAGAAAGGGAGGGAGAGAAGAGAAGGAAGGAAGAAAGGAGGGAAGAGAAGGAAGGAAGGAAGGAAAAAAGGAGGAGAGAAATAAAGAAAAAGAAGGAAGAAACTAAGGAAAAGAAGGAAGGAAGAAAGTAAGTAAAAGAGAGAAAGGAAAGAAGGGAGGAAGGGAGAAAAGAAGAAAACCAGTACCAATTTCTGGGTTTTCACAGACCATGGTCTTTGGCCTGATTAGCTGGATCCTGAGCCAAGTTCAGAAACCTTATTCTCTCTAGAGGAATGACCTTGACCTTCAAGGTCTAGGTGTCATCTGTGGTACTCCAATGATTCAGGCTGTGGAGGTGGAAATTGTGTTGTATGTTAAGACCATGAATATTCCATGTCTGCCTCACCCAGGGGCCTCCTGCTGTGGTAGAAGAGGGTAGGCAGCCATTCTTCACAGGTCCATCAAAGTCACATGCCATATTTTTTTTCTTTCTTGTCCTCCTGCCACAGGGCCAAGCACACTTGCAAGAAGACATTGCTGGAGGAAGTGCAGGAGCTGGAAACCAAGTCCAGAGTGATGGGAAGAGCAATGCTACGGGACAGCAATGGGAAGAGGTGGGCACCTGCATCCAAATGTGTATGGACACCCTCTTTTCTAGGACTCTCCCCGTATCCCCTGCCCATAGTTCTCCCTATCTTGAGTTTGAAGCATTTATGTCATTTAAGTTACACACTCTCAGCAGCCACTCAGAATTTGACTTTCTGGGGATATCCTCAAGTTTCTTTCTGGGTGGAGGGGTTGGACATGAACAAAATATGCATAAAATTGATGCTATGCAATATTATCTTATAGCTGAAGAGTTCAGGACTAAAGAGGGTCTATAAAACAGGAGATAAGAGTCTCAAGGACTTTCCTGCCTTGAGACTCTTATCTCCAGTTAACCAACAAAATGTCAGAAGTGGAGCTGGGAGAGTACATTTGTTTGGAAAAAAATGTGTACTACCAAAGGAGATTTTCTTGACCTAGGAACATTTACAAAAATAGAAAACCAATGCTGTATTAGGGATATGAAATCTCTAGAATACTGAGTGATACTCTCCTAAGTACATTTAGAGAAATCTGTAGCTAAGTATGAATGAAAAAAAAATCTCGAAGTTGAGCACGTCTAGAGATTTTGTTTGGCCTTAATTTATATTTATTTGGACCTTTTTCTTAGTCGTGGGGCTTGAACTCAGGGCCTGAGTGCTTTTGCTCCAGGCTAGTGCTCTACCTCATGAGCCACAGCACCATTTTCTGGTTTTCTGGTGATTAATTGGAGATAAGAGTCTCCAAGACTTTCCTGCCTGGGCTGGCATTGAACCACAATCCTCAGATTTCAGCTTCCTGAGTAGTTAGGATTACAGACAGGTGTGAATGAGTATCTGTTTTGTTGGGTTTTTTTGTTTTGTTTTGTTTGGTGGTGGTACTGGTGTCTGAACTCAGGGCCTTACACTGCCTAGGTTGATACTCTACCACTTGAGCCATGCCCTCCAGTTGAAACATGTGTGTGTGTGTGTGTGTGTGTGTGTGTGTGTGTGTGTGCTTGTACTGGGGCTTGAACTCAGGACTTCACACTCTTAGCATTTTTATTCAAGACTGATGCTCTATCACCTGAGTTATACTTCTACTTCTGGCTTTTTGCTGGTGGCTAGCTGAAGATAAGAGTCTCTGAGTAGCTAGGATTACACCAGGCTAAGTGTGAATTCTACCTGAACTACATGCAAGCTAATCATATAATGGGACTGTCTCTTCATTGGTCATAGAATGCTAATATTATATTTTTTTAATTGAGAAGGTGGAGATAGGAAGTGTGAAGCAATGTATACAGCATAGCACCCTTCTTTTGCTATGCTGTATACATATTAAAAGGGAGTGGTAACTTTCATCCTTGAAAGAAAACTTTTACTCTTTGCTTGTTGACAAAAAATGTATTTATTTATTTTTTTTATTTTTAGTATTTTGTGGTACTGTACCACTGAACTACATCCCCAGACTTTGGTATTTTGAGACAGTCTCAGCATGTAGCCCAGACTGGCCTCAAACTCAGGATCTTCCTGCCTCAGCTTCCCAAGTGCCAGGATTATCCAGCTGTTATTTGGTTCACATGTGTGTGTAGTTTTTTGGGGGGGGTTGCTGGAATAACCAGGAGTTTATACATGCTGGACAAATATTATTAACACTGAAAACCACACCCCTACATTTTGAGAATGTAACTTTTAAAACCCACTTACTAAAATTCACTTTCAAATGTCCAAAGGGCTATCAGAAGATAGAGTTAAAATGTGGCTTCCTGCCTGCTCTACTTAAAATATCTTGTCTTTTTGGTAAGGTGCAGGACCTTGTAGGTGATATGATCATGGGTACTCATGCACATACGTGTGTATGAATGTGTAAGTGAGTGTATGCACACTCCATTTGGTTAGTCTTTCCTTTCCTCTTGGTCCAAGTGCAATGCTGGCTTCATTGTGGAGCTGCCAGCTAGAAGATAGCTAGGAACTCCACCTACCTACCTTCCTCCACTCTTGCTCTTTGCTTTACTCTTTCCAAATTGCTCCTGATTTTCCGGGTGGTCCATATCAGACTAGATAATGGTGGCATGCTCCTCTCTTCAAATTGATTTTGTCCTGTGTTATGCCTCACAATTCTTTCTTCTCTTTCTTTCCTTTTTTCTTTCCTGCCTCCTTCCTTCCTTCCTTTTCTGTTCTTTTCTTTCTGTGCTGGTACTGGAGCTTGCACTCAGGGCCTGAGTCCTATCCCTTAACCTTTGCACTCAAAGCTAACTACCACTTGAACCACACTTCCAATTCCAGCTTTTTACCTGTTAATTGAAGATAAGAGTCTCGTGGACTTTTCCAGCTAGCTTTGAACATGATCCTCAGATCTCAGCATCGTGAGTAGCTAGGATTACCAGCATGAGGCAGTGGAACCTGGCTTGTTTGTTTTGTTTTGCTTTGCTTTTTTGTTTTTTGTTTTGTTTTGGTATGAAAGATAAATCTACCCATAACTTCTTTTTTTTTTTTTTTTGGTCCAGTCGTGGGGCTTGAACTCTGGGCCTGGGTACTGTCCCTCAGCTCTTCAGCTCAAGGCTAGTGCTCTACCACTTGAGCCACAGCGCCACTTCCGGCTTTTTGCTTATGTGGTTCTGAGGAATCGAACCCAGGGCCTCGAGCATGCAAGGCAAGCATTCTACCACTGAGCCACCTTCCCAGCCCCCTACCCATAACTTCTTAACTCTATAGCTGTAACATAAACAAATGTCCAAAATGTCACATGAAATGACAAACTGCCAGGCGACGGTGGCTCACGCCTGTAATCCTAGCTACTCAAGAGGCAGAGATCTGAGGATCACGGTTCAAAGCCAGCCCGGGCAGGAAAGTTTGTGAGACTCTTATCTCCAATAAAACTACTAGAAAACAGGAAGTGGCGCTGTGGCTCACTCAGTAGAGCGCTTGCCTTGAGCTGAAGAGTGCAGGGACAGCGCCCAAGCCCAGAGTTCAAGCCCCACAACCGACCAAAAAAAAAAAAAAAAAAAGATGACAAACTGTCTCCATCCCCCTTTCTTTTCTTCTGCCTTAGTGTGCAATAGGGAGTATTCCTTAGTATTTTAGGTATTGTGACAAATAATAAAAAATGATTATATTTTCAAAAATATCTCTTGGCGGAATCAGGTTTAATCTGACTATTCAACAAGGACACCCTAGAGTCTTCCCTCTGGGATGGTTGGTGGAAGCTGAGTAGGGTGAACCCAGGGATGATTTTCTCCAGTTTCAAAGGACAAGCAGGCAGGGCAGATTCTTTTCCTTAAGTGTCCCTCCACCACCAGCCCCACCGGCCAGGATTCTTCCTCCTTCCTCCTTCTCCCCTCCACTTACATGAGGCTCACTGTGTCTTAAGGAGAGGTAGCCATGTGTCTGACTTTGAAACATCTGGGAGCAATAGCTATAGCATGTCTCCCTTTGGTTCATGTTCTCGGTCAGCACTGATGTATGGCCCTGTGGCTGAGGACTGAGGCCAGAGGCCCAATGGAGATGACCCAATCCCCTCCCCTACCTGACTTTGCAACACTCTTGGGCTCACTCTACTTCCCAAGTATCTATGCAGACTACCTCTAGCTGGCCTGGGCCTGGGATTGGTCTGATAATTTTAGTGAAGTGTTGCTTACTGAGGAACAGGGGACAGTTCTTGCAACCCACTGCAGGATTTCCAAGCACTCCACAGGTCTCCCTCCTAGCCTCATGAACCAATTGTTTAAATTTTTTTAAAGCAAAACAGCACAATAATCTCCAAGTCATCCTACATGAATACTTAATTCAGAAGTATCCACTGGGCTGAGATCCTTAAACACAAATCTTTGCTCTCCAAATTAGTGTTTAAGTGCTGGAGTGTGGACTTAAGTAGTGGATGCATGATTGGCATGTGCAAAGCCCTGGATGCCATCCACAACACAGATGGATGGATAGATCTATGGATGCATGCATGGATGCATGCATGGATAACCATATGGATGGTGGATGACTGAATAGATGGATGGGTGGATGGGTAGGTGGGTGGATGGATAGAAGGATGATGGGTGGGTGAATGGATGACTGAAAGACTGGGTAGATGCAAAAACGAATGTGTATACATGCACAAATGAACAAACAAATGTTTATGGAACTCTTGGGTATTGTCAAACATTTAAGTCAAAATTGGCACAGCTGTCATATGGGGCAGACTCATAGCAAACCTCCCCTGTGGAAGCCACCCATTTTATTGCAATGTTTCTCCAATGTTGACTTTATATCCTTTCAGGGGAAAAAATGTTTTTATTAGAGTACCAGCTGTTGGCATCACATGGCTCTGCCATCCCTTTATTTCCCTCCTGGCTTCATCCAAACTTTGCTCCTAAAACAACTATTTGTTTTTTATTGGCCAAAAGGATAGGAAATGATGGCATAGTTTCAGCAAACTTCTCCAGGCCAGGTGGCAAATGTCTGCTTCCAGCACCTGGTTGAGATTTGCTTGCTTTCCAGCTGCATTTTTTTTTTTTTTTGGCATGGCTGTGTCATGAAGCAGAGCAACAAGCCCCAGTGGCCAGAGAGACAGATGGATGGACAGGTGGACAGACAGACAGACAGGAATTAGGCCCTAAGCCCTGCCACTCACTTAGCTGTGTGACCTCCAAGCTTACTAACTTCTCTGAACTCTCCTTTTCTCATCATGGCGTTGCTTCAAGAGCTTTACACATATGTAGACATTTAGAAAGTATTTCTACCTATCTCATGCTCTGTCTTAAAAACTGAGGAATAATTAAATTTCAGTAGCTATCCTTATGAGCTATGAGCCTTTCCCTCAACACATTCATCTTTAAAGGTTTTTCCTTAAAGAAGAAGTTAAATTATATAAGCTAGGTGTAGTGATACCTATCTGTAGTCCCACCTTTTGGGAAGCTGAGACCAGCATTTGAGGCCAGACTGGACAACAGAGAAAGATACAATCTCAAATAAGAAAAGAAAAACCTAGTCAAATATTCAAGCACACACTATAGTAGGAAGACTTCATGTCATCATGCCAAGCAAGATCCAGCAATTATTTT